TGACTGAAGCGCGAGTGCCTCCCTGACATCCTGTCGATGAGAAGTGGTGCCAAGAGCAGCACTCCGTGGGGGAGAGAGGACAGCCAGCCGGGGGCAGACAACATCATCACCAAGAAGGTGGCGTGTGATGGAAGGCAGACCCTCAGACGCACACGCGTGCAGCAGGGTCTCCAGGAAGCCAAGGGTATCGCTATCATGGGTCGGTTCAAGGTTATTTCTACAGCACAGAGAGAAAACTTTCCAACCCCAGTAGGAAACAAACATAGATAACTCTCACTATCATGGGAGGGTGGGGGAGGATTATGCTAGGAGCAGTGACAAGTGACAGCCAAGGCAGGCCAAGGACACAGCCTTGAGAGGACCCAAGAAACACCCCTGTGAGTGTGGATAGAGACGGACAGGACAAAGCACCATGAAAGCTGATGTTCTGTAGCACGTGTGCTCACACTGCAGGAGGACGAAATGGAACCAAACTCACTTTTAGGGTGATCTGAATCCCAGGCATTGTCCTTAAAATCTCATGTCTCTCATAACATGCCCCTACCACAGAGGTAATGCCATCCTGTACTGGGTAAACGTTGCCTCCTCTAAAACACAATAGTCTCTTTGCCACACTCTCTCTCTCTCCAATTTCACCTGATATACCACCAGAGAAGTTTCCAGAAGCATTGCTTGGCACCTGCCCCCTCCACCACAAAGCCATTTGGGGAACACTCCCCCTGTCTTTTATTACACTTGAGTCATAGGCCTCTGCAGAACCAGATTTAGGATGTGTTTGAGGAGTGGGAATGTCACGGGAGATTCAATTTCTACGTTCGGGCACCATGCAGGGACAGGGCTTCCCACAGAAATGCCACCTGAGGTGCAGGAACGTGGACTCAGTGCTCCTGGGGAAGCAGGCAGTCCAGCTGCCAAAGAAAGCACCACCAGCATTTCAAAGTAAGCTGGCTAGCATTTCAACATCTGCAAAGCTCTCACCTGACGGAACATAGAAAACTGCATGCCTCCTGAGGGAAATCAGAAATCTACACACACGCAGGTAAGACTTTCAGCTGAGGGGCTTTCCAGCGGCTCCCAAGACAATTACTGTTACTGCCTATAATGCACCCATCACCTCCGTGAGCACAGCAGCTCCCTGACCTCACACCATTTCCACTTGGCTTTCTATCTGCAGGAGGATGCCCCTGTAGTACAAGAGGTAGTATTACTAGTGGTTAAGAATATTTATGCAAAAGCTAGAGCTCTGCCACCATACAACCTCACAAAGAAAGCTAAACCACTCCATGCCTAAGTCCTCTCATG